TTTTTGGACATTAACCCTCAAGGACCAAGTTGTATAACTCATCATGCTCTACAACTTTCATGTTGAAATTTTTCCTTGAATCATCTTGCATCTTAGTGAAAAATGGTCATGAAGTAGTGAATTTATCAAGGTCAAAACACTTAGAATTTTTCGAAGTGTTGGAAATTTTGACATTTTGTTGACTTTTCTTGACTTTGTTGATTCTTGTTGATCAAACTTGAAAATTTTGAATATTTTGATGACTCTTGATCTTTGAAGTTCAAAGTTGGCAAAAAAGTAAAAGTTTGACTTTTGTGTGACAGTTGACTTGTCATCAGTTGATTCAAATTTTCAACTATCAAATAATTGCATCTTTGAGAATGTCTTGAACCATGCAATTAGGTCAATATGTTGTGTTTGAGTCCTTAAGATCATGCTTTAAATCATTTGGTCATGTACTAGGTCAAAAGTCAATGATCAATCATTCTCAATCAAAACCCTAATTTTGACAATTTTGCCCCTTTAATAATTTGAGTTCTTTCCTTGAGGAATTATGATCAAACCTTGATCAAATGATGAATATCACATTAAAATGTTGATGTTGGCAAAAAATCTTGAAGTTTGACTGTATGTTGACCATATTTGACTTTTTACCCAATACAGCTGATTTTCAGTCATTTGAGTAATTGACTGAGCAAATTTGTGATGCAAGTCTTAAAACTTGGTATTAGAATTATTGGAGGTCTATGATGAACCATGAAGGTCACTTGAGGCGTTAGAAGTCCAATTTTCCTTGAGAAAACCAAAACCCTAATTGCCGACCCAATGCTTAAGAGGTGAGCTTGTCAGATCATTTCTTGAGAATCTTTGAGCATTTGAGAATTTTTGTGAGAAATGTCTTGGAGAAAAGGGAGGGAAATTTTTGGGGTACAACAGTCGCACTCGCGTTCTTAAAGCTAATGGGCATGACCTTGTAACAGAAGTTTCATGTATTTGTCAAGAATTTCATTTTCTTACAGTTAAATGGGTCCATTGGGATTTAGTTATACCCAAAGTATGCATCCATGAAAGATATGAGTTTGAACCCCCAATGAAATATTGATGATCTTATCGATATTTAAGAGAAGGTGGGATACTTTAGACATGCTCTATTCATGTCAAAGTAATCAACACACTTCTATAACTTGTTATTTTACTTCCATACTAGAACCACATTAGAAAGCCATGTTGTATACTTATCCTCGGTTATGAGTCAGTCTTTTAATATTTCTTTGATGATATTTCTGACCTCTTCGATCTTCTTTAGTTATTGTGTCCTCATCTGCTGTTCCAAATATGGAACGATATCTCGAAGGACCAGGCTATGGCATGTAACTTCAAGATGAGGAATGGCATCGCCTTCGCTGACCATGAGAACAAGTCATGATTTCTTTGTAGGAAATTCGATAACTCAGATTATATCAACATGGTAGGTTTTCCCTAAATTTAATGTCTTTCAAAGGACCTTCACTAACAAAGACTTTGATGAAGTCTCTGAGTGGTTCTGATCTTTCCATTTTTTCTTCATGCTTCTTCAGGCGTGGCCTCCTCGTCACTTATGGTTTCATAGGGGGGACAATTCTTTGATTTGAGAGTCTAAATCCACCGGACCCTCGTGATTCTTGCTCTGGGGAAAGCTCTCTTTTGGTGAACATTGTTTGTCTAAAAAGGTGATGAAACTCGTACAAGATGAAATGAAACATGTCTCTAGCACCATGACTTGATTTATCGTGGTATGGATTTTTTTTCCTTCAGGTGAATGGTTGATGAGGTCGTGCATAGGGTTGTCAATGTCGGTCTTCCAAAGATACATTGTAGATAGAGTTTCAATCTATAACCAAAATTTTGACCTTAAGGATTTTTCTTTCTTCTTCGACTCCAAATGTTGTTGGGAATTTGGCGTATTCCAAATTTATTATGTTGGTTCCATTGAAACCTTGGGGGTATACATGTTGTAGCATGAGTTGCCATGCTCTACTAACATGTGTCAAACATTGTGACATTTCATCATTATCTTGATGAGTAGGTATGGCAATAGGTCAGGCCCGTTGTTGTACCCCAAAATTTACCCTCCCTTTTTACTCAAGACATTTTTTAGGGTTCTCAAATGCTCAAGGTTGCTCAAGAATTGATCAGACAAATTCTCCACCTAAGTAATGGGTCCACAACTAGGGTTTCATCTATCACAAGGAAATTTGGGTTTCAAAGGCCTCATGTGGTTTCCATGGTTCCTCATATATATATATATATATATATATATATATATATATATATATATATATATTATATATATATATATATATATATATATATATATATATATATATATATATATATATATATTATATATATATATATATATATATATATATATATATATATATATATATATATATATATATATATATATATATATATATTATATATATATATATATATATATATATATATATATATATATATATATATATATATATATATATATATATATATATATATATATATATATATATATATATATATATATATATATATATATATAATAATGCTCATATCAAGTTTCAAGCATTGCATCACAAGTTTGCTCAGTCAATGGCTCAGATGACTGAAAATCAACTGTAGTGGACAAAAAGTCAATTATGGTCAACATACAGTCAAACTTTAAGATTTTTGGTCAACATCAAGATTTTTGAGTCATATTTATCATTTGATTAAGGGTTGATCATGATTCATCAAGAAAAATCTCAAACCATCAAAACTCAAAAGTTGCCAAATTAGGGTTTTCCTTAGAAGAAGTCAACTGAACTTTGACCAAGCATAAATTTCACATGCTTCATCATATCTTCCCCAACCAAAGCTCGTTTTGAATAAAATTCAATTCTCTTCAAGTTTGTCTCTCTAAGCTCAAGTCCAAAAAATACTTCGTTTGAAAGATATGAGTCAATACATTATAGGTCATTTCAAAAGTTGACAAAAAGACATTTTTGTCAAGGCAGCCTACATCAAGATAAAGTCTTCAAATGCAAAAATAATCAAAAGAGGGGTCATAGAGGACATCTTACGCTTTCCAAAACGTCCAATATCACCTTCAAAAGATGAAAATTGAGAGAGTTATGACCAGTGCAAGTTGAGAAATTTTGAACAAATGCATGAAGTTCAAATTGAGCAAACTTTGTATCTTGGGCTATTGGGACATTGTTTCAGAGTCCAAGCATGTACTACACTCCTTATATATCTCAGATCTTGTTCATGTACCCCTTGATCTATTTTATTTTTATTATTTTTATTTATTCATTATTAACTCAAAAATAAATAAGATAGAATACAAGGCTTATTAACAAAGGTCCAAGCCCATATTGTTGACCTAATTTCATCCTTATATAATCTCCATTATTCAGACACAAAAGCGACGAAAATCCTTGTCCAAGAAACCTCTAAAAAATCACAAAAAATATTCAAATCTAGGGCAACTTACAAAACCTGTTTGCAGTCAGTTTCAATACACTCAAGCTATTCCAATCGACTTCAAGAAGATCATAGGGTAAGATTGGATCATTTACAACGATCCAAAAGACCAGAAACACCACAAACATGTCTCGTCGATTTCATCATTACATGTTTTTTCATATTTGTTGTTCATTATGTTTTTACGCATACTAATGTTATTAACATGTTCATGAGGTAATGATATGCAGGAAAAATCCATCAAGGAGGTCCCATGCTGGCCAAATCGTAAAACACCATAACTATACTGATCCCATGTATTTTCGCCATAGCTCAAAATCTACTGCGTTTCAGTCTAAAAGAATCATCCCATTGAACTCGCATACTCTTATTTAGGGGGGTAGGGTTCCTCTAGATTGCTGATATTGGTTGTTTTGTAGGTTTGAGGAAAAGAGGTTACCGGAGAAGACGACCAGAGCTAGGGCTCTGTTGCCTCTCTAGATCAGGCAGCATATATATATATATATATATATATATATATATATATATATATATATATATATATATATATATATATATATATATATATATATATATATATATATATATATATATATATATATATATATATATATATATATATATATATATATTTGTTTTGTTTAAGTTAACGGATGTATTACCACCCCAGCGATTGAAGCATGCATGATAAATTCTTACTATGCCCAGATGCAAGTTCGATCCTTGTGCGTCACAATATATATATATATATATATATATATATATATATATATATATATATATATATATATATATATATATATATATATATATATATTATTCAATAATTTTTAAAAACTTTTTTTTCTTAATTATATTAAGAACTAGAAGGAGTATTGTTAGATGATACTCCACCTAGCACTAAAAACTAAAACTAAGACCACATAATTTTCTATGATAGTAGAAAGAATTTCCAAGACAAGACAGCTTTATCATAATTTAGTACTCTTTTTTTTTTTGGTGGTTGAGGAATCAAAACATTACCAACCTCCAATCAAAATGGTATAAACTCTAAACAGTTACTCAGTCAAACTATCTAATTGAATTGCTGACACCATACTGTAGAGAAAAACAAGTTCCATATAGTGACAGTTCAATAATAATATTTATTTTGCAAACTTTTTTCAAAAACTGTGAAAAATGTTTAAAATAACCAATTGAAATAGAATAATGACAATGACATTCATAAAACAAATGTTCCAAAACTTATGAATATCTAGTCCTATAGTACCTTTGCCCCTACCTCTTATTATTTTTATTGTCTATGGATTCTATTTTACTCCTCACTTAAAAAATAGAACAAAAACTCTTGTTACAACAACAACAAAAAAAAAAAAAAGCTCTATTCCTTGTTCTATAAAATCCTCCATATTCTATACTTTATTTTATTTTTTATTATTTTATTTTTCTCTATATGTTTTGTTGCTTTATTTATTGGTTTTTGAGGGGGCATGCATAATTCATTGGAAAAAAAAATGCTATGCTTCATAGGTTTTGTTTGGTTTGATGCGTTTGGCTTCAGGGCTATTAGTATTATTTGAAGAATTTGCAAGTGATGATGAAGTAGTAGTTGCATTTATGTTGCTGAGGCATTGAGAATCCTCTGCAGAAGCAGTATCTGATGATTCCAGCTGTTGAAACATTTCAATACACTTCATTACTCTCTCCTGCAAAATGTAGATACATATCAATATCAGTTAAATCATGTCATTAATTAATCTGAATTTATTGAAATTTATGATCATATAATGTTTAAATGATCATACTAATAAATAATACTAAGATTTAAATTCATCATTGATTCATTAGTACCTTTTCTACATATTGAGTCAGAAGAGAAACTGCTTTATCAGTTTCAACGGTTTGGTTTTCGCCTTCGGCGGATATTGTTACTGCAACAGCTGCCGCGATTTCGGATGGCTTGAATTGAATGAAGTCGGTTCCTACATTGGATTCCAAAATGGCACTGATTAGAATTTCTTACTCTTTCTTATCGTGATTATTATTGATGCGTACCTCTGATAGTACGCATAATGAGTTGAAAAGATTGCGCAAATGAATCTTCGGTTGGAACTTGATCATGGTTGAGCTTGTTGAGAAAGTAGTCAATGAAGGAGAAAGGTGTGATTGAATGCATTCTCCAATTCAATGTGCTTAGTATCATAAGCTCCATCTTAAGTATTGTTTTGTTATCGAATAAATACTTCTTTTCATTCATCTGCAAAGAAAAATAGTTATCACTACCTCACATGTAGTAAGACATTTCATTTAACATATTCAAACCCTCACAACATCATAGTTGTTCGAGTTATTATGAGTGTGACATGATCGCATTGTAGCTGCATCAATCACATTTGTTTCAAATTCTCTACAATATAGAGGATTGACACACACTCGTGACACAAAGGCAATCACAGTCTATGGAGCACTGACATAGACACCGAATATTACACATACACATTAATATCAAAAATTAATTTAAAACAATAGAATGATCAAATATAGTCATATGTCTAAGTGTCCTGTCAATATCAGACACCAACACAACCTCCTATCAGTACCAGACACCGACAGGGTATCCTATCCGTATTGAACACCATCACATGCCAAACACTAAACACATTTTCAATATAAAAATCGTGTTGGAATTGGACACGGACCAATATAAAATGTCATGTAAACATCACACACTATACACACTCTCAATTTGAAATATCAATGGCAATGCTACAAAGATTGCGATCAAAAACATTTTCAATCTAACAAGAAAGCATTAAAGAAATACAATATACCTGCATATCAAGAGACCGAGGAACTGCAGTCTCATCAATTTTGGCTGCAAGATACAAGGAAGCCACAGCCAAGAGTTGAATGGACCACATTCTATCCTTCTGAGATTGTAAAGATTCATATCAAAACCAATTGCAAACACAATCGAAACAACAAAAAACACCTCTTATCTTCACTTCATTAATTCACTTACTAGCATATCAACCGCAGAAAGGAAGCGATCCATGAAGTTCACAGCTAGATAAAGACATAGAGGGCCAAAACCAAAATGCATTCCAACCTATAAAAAGATACACATTAGATTCAATGATATAACAAAAAAGAGCCATCCTATGCATGAAATTAAGAGTTCAATCAATAAGCTTAATAATGATAATAAGACAAACCATAGATTCTATCCAACCAACACAGATTCAACATTGAATTATCATCAAACATGTATAATGAATAAGAATAAAAATCAAATCTAATATCATTAAAACCAAACATTATGACTTGAAAACCTTTTGAATCCAATCAATGGCTTCCATTCTACCCTCCAAATCCAAATCCCCAATTTTCAACCTACTAACATAATCACTAGCAGGCACATGATAGCATTCTTTTCCAATCAAAACCTTCACACTCTCATCACTCAGCAATGGTGGAACCGACCCAATTGGTTCATCCAATTGCTGTGGTTCATCAAGGATTGGAGGATCATATTCAACTTGCCATGGTTCATCTAAAACCTCCATTGAACCCTCCAAATCATTTTCATCGAAAAAACTGATGTCTTCAGTACAAAGAAGACTAGCAAAATCAAAACTGGGTGCCATTGAAAAATCCCACAGAAAATGATAGAAAAAAAAAGTAATTTTTTTGATAACCCAGATGAAAAAAACGAATTTTTAGATTAAAGATTTAATCTTTTGAATAAAAGAAAGTATCTAGAATGAAGATCTCTTATAAAATGATTAGAGAAGACGTGGAGGGGGAGAAAGAAGTATGCGAAATAAGAACAAAATCACTATATAGTAGTAGTTTCAAGCAGTTTGTCTCTTTCTCTCTCCAAATATCTCAAAACTTCTCTCTCATTCTCTCTCTCTCTATTTATATAGATATATTTATAGTGCGTGTGACACTTCCCTTGTTTCTATGACTTCTCTAGATTTTCTGTAGGATAGAGAGAGAGAGAGAGAGAGGAGAAGAAGAAGAAGGGATAGGAGAGTCTCTTAGAAAGGATTGAGCGCCAAATTCATAGAAACTAAGGACTCATTGTAGGGGGAGACAAGGGTCAATAGAGACATGGATTTTTCTTGCCTCTAATTATTTTTTAAAATTATTTTTATTATTGTTATTTTGACTCTATTTTTTTCGATTATATTGGTCAATATCATGTCATTTTTAATTGTTTCATACAAAGTAAAAAATGATGTAAATAAATTAAAGAATACAGGCATTTTAAGAATTTTTTTAAAAAATTAATGATTTTTTAGAAATTATCTAATTAACTATATTTGCTGTAAATTATTGGCATCAATGAATTTTTTTTAATGAATTAAAAGTAAATTAACTTTTTTTTAAATGAAATATGATTAAATATTAATTATTTTTACTATTTATTTAAAGAAAATATCTGTAAAATAATAATATTTTGTCTCAAATTATGTGTCGTCTATATAAAAAAATTGTCTTATTTATTTTTTCACCATAGTTGTTCTTTTCTTTTAATTTTTTAAAATTTTCTTTCTAATATTATTAATTAAATGTAATATTATAAATTATTTCATTATTTCTCTTTATTATATAAAATTAATTATATTTAAAAAATAATATGTGTGAAATATTTAAAAATGAAAAAATATTTATCTAAATTTTTTGTATTTTCAATTAAATAATATATTAAATTTAAAAATTGATTTAATATTTTAATTGAGATTATTTATTAAATAAGACTGCCTATGATTTTTTGAATTTTTTTTTTGAATAACCACTTTTTAAAAAAAAATTCTCATATAATCAATCTTTCACTAAATATATTAAAGTAACCACAATCCCACAAAAAAAAATCGCCACATTGAGGAGGTGTCACTTTATATAGCGCATGTACTTAAAATATAGAGGATGTGTCCACTGCATGACATATGATCCTCTGTCATGTCATCTGATGCGGTGCATGCATTATGCCAATATAGAGGAATAGTCATCTAGTGTGGCTACTCAGTTGTTTTGGATTATCTATAAATACATTCATCCATTTCCACCATTTATCACACATCTTCTCGCTTCACTCTTAAATATGTTTTCCAGTATGCTTCCAATATTTCCAATTATCAAAAGAAATGCTCAACTAACTTTTTCATCAACAAAGCCTCCGATGAAGATCAAACTTTAGAACACGTAGATCTTTGAGTATTTTCAAATGAGCTTAATCCGCTGGTTAGACGTAGACATTCTTGACGGTGAACAAATAAGGAGATTTGATAGGCTTGTTACGGTGCCTAACCAAAATGAATAAACTCGTTCCTAGAAACCTATTAAAACTTACTATGATGTCCTTATGATGATGCTCATACCAGTTGATATTATCTTGATGGTTGTAATCTCCTAGTTATGTTGATGTGTTTAGTCATTTTATTTGTTTATGATGTTGTTTTATGTGTGGTTGTCTTTATTTTGTTGACCCGAATGTTGACTTGAATATGAAATGAAAGTTAAATTTAAATTGAAGTTTCTTGGTTACAACAAATAAATTACATATCAAGATTGACATATAAAAATTATTTTGCAGAGTTAGACCCAATATTTAGACAATTTTTTCGATTGTGTCCAGGTTGACGACTTGTACTGCAAAATCTTATCATTTTGTTAGTTGTATACATATCGGTTCGAATACATGTGTTATTAGGGCGCCCCTTTTTCTTCCTTCACATTTGGTTATTATGTCAAACAATGTCCCTTTGATAAGCATGCCAATAATATTCTTTTGCTATCACAAAGAAGGTATTGATGTACACACTTAATATATTTTCGACTTTGTAAACAGTGGATATATGTCCTCTAGGGTTCAGGCGAGCATGTGAACATGCTGCTATGACATGAGAGCAAGGCATACGAAAGGTTTGAAACTTTTTTCAATCGCACCAACTTGTATCAAGTTTGACCCGATAGTATCCTCTTGGCCTCCCCTCATTATGGTCCATTGTCTCATGTACACTGAAATAACCTTTAATACGGTCAAACACTGTAACACTGTGTGTTAGCTTTGGCAGCCTCCTCCTGCATTAATTTCATAGAGCTTTCAATAAATAATTTCCCAGATTGTAACACTACCCTCAATTTTGAACCCCTGGTATCGAACACTAACCCCAACCTAAAATATGTTGCTCTCACCAATGCAGTTATCGATAGGTTTTTGATGCCTTTGCAGACAAAGTTCATTGATTCTACTAGATTGATTTTCATGTGGCCCCATCGCTAACCATTGTCAAATGTTCGGATTCTCTTCTCCACTGGAATTTTATCGATACGCCTTAATGCATCTGCATTTGTCAACCTAATCTCTTTGAAGTAGTGTTGGAATGACAGTTCTATTAAGGAATTACGCCACATTAACAACAAAAATTCAAAGCGTCTTGTCTTTGATCTCCCGCATTAAGTTTTATGTGATATGTCTAATGTGATAGACATGCATAGAAGTGGGATCTTGCCAACTGTTATCAGGGTTATTGTAAGCACTATCAATAGATGGATGTATGTATGAAATATTAAACAGAGGTTTGGTTGAGGAGCAACGTGTAATCGGAGATGCTTGAGAAAGAAACTCCACCCACTAGTTGTCTTACCTTCAACCAGAGCGAAGGCAATTGAAAAAGTATTATTGTTTCCATCTTGTGCCACTGCCATAAGTAACATTCTTTTATACTTCTCGTACAACCATGTTCCATCAATTTGTATAGTAGGTTTTTAGGATGCAAAACCTTTGATGCATGGTTCATACGCCCAAAACAGTCGATGAAAGATTCTATTTCCACTAACACAAATTTTGTCTGGGGTAAATATCAAGAGTGTCTCCAAAATTATAACAGTTCTTGGAGCATAATACTTGAGTGCCACCAAAAATATTAGAAGTTCTTTGTACGAATCCTCCCAATTACCGTATACTAGTTCAATGAATTTAGTCCTCGCGATCCCTGCCTTCCTGTTGTCTCAACCGGCAAAAAAAACACAGAGCCACCACCAAACTTTATTTATTCTAAGCGAAGGGAAAATATCGAGAAAACCCCAGAAGGAACGATAAGATGGTCTTGCGACCAAGAGAAAGGGTACGAAAGTCGATTATACATGAGGAAGGTATTAACACCCCTCTCATCTGTTGTACTCAATGGGATCCGCTTCGGTTGTTTATTTCTAAGGGTGTGTCTATCTAAAACTATACTTTCTAAGGGAAATGCATAAATAAGTTAAAAGGAGAAACAAAAAAGAAAAAAGTTTTTACTATTGAGTTCATGAGAATTTTGCAACCTTGTGCCTACGTATCTCAAGGGGAATCATAACTCCATAATTATTCTCAAAAATGTTGGTTTGTTGGTGTTTTTAGTGGACAATATTAACATTCACATTCTAGCATTAGGTGTTGTTGTTCGACCTTTAGAGACTCACGTGTTACCTGTGTTGCGGTAGAACGGAAATAACATTCCCATTTGAAAAGGTTAAAGAGAAAAGGGCCAAGAGGCAAAAAAGGGTTTGGATAAGGTTTGTGTTTTTTATTCTTTTGAAATGAGTTCGATATGCTTAAGTGTTTTAAAGTGTTTATTAAATAAAAGAAGTTTTATTTTAGATGCAAATGTGAAAGGAAAAGCAAAGTCTAAAGGGTGACTAAAAAATCTAATGTTATCATGCCATGGTGGACTTAAGATTGAGTTTATGAGAGAGATTTTAACCTAAGAAGTTATCTTACATAGGTCGATCCTAAAGTATAATTCAAAACAAAATGATCAAAATGAATTTAAACGCTTCATGGAATCATGGAATCATGGAATCACTTAGAGAACATATTATCAAGAATTTACCAAGCAATCAAACAAAACAAAAATAACATAAATACAAAGCTAATTTTTTTTTGTGTGATTTTTATCTAGTAAAGAAATGTGACTAAGTAAAATAATTAAAAATAATTAACTAAACTAAAACAAATATTAAAATCGCAAAGATATTAAATTAATTCTAAGGCTAAACTACTTAGCAAAAAATTACCTAATAAAAAAACTATATTATTATTTAATTAAATTTTAAAACTAAAATAAGAAGCTAAGAAAATTAAAAGAAACTAAGTATAATAAGGGTGTAAAGTGTAACGCCCGTTAATTTAATTAATTAATTTCGAATTATTCGTTGAAGTTGTGAGGTGTTGTGAATTGTTGACATAAGTTTCTATATTATTACTAGTTAATTAATTAGTTAATTAAGAATAGTAATAATATTAGAATAATAATTTAATTAAGTTGTTGGGCTTATTTATATGGTGGTATGTAGTAAGGTGGAGGTGTGTAAGTTAGGCCCAATAGGATTAATGAAATAAAATTAAGTTGATATAAGAATTAGGTTAATTAGAAAAATAAGGAAGTATTGTTGTACTGATCGTAGAAGTTGCAGAGAAGAGGAATATGGAAAAGAAGCTAAGCTGGGTTTTTGATCGGAGAGTTATAGAGCGACCTTCAATCCAAGGTAAGGGTGAGGTTCTGACTATATAATAGGGTATATTATTAATATCATGTGGGATTTGGGTTTGTATAAAAATTGTTACTGTGTGCGAATGGTGTTGAGAATTATACTG